CGCTTTTGCGCGCTCGCCGGGCGCGCGGGGAAAAAGCCCTCTCTCTCCCGCCGACCCTCCCGGCGGGCTTCGTCAGCTCGGCTCGGCTCGGCTCAAAGGCGCCGCTTTCCTGCCTCCCCTGAACTTTGCCGAGTTGCCAGCAGGACCTGACGCACGCAGGCTTGGGGTGACGGCAGCTCCTCCTCCGCGCTTCGGCTCCTCCCTGGCGCCCTGCCCTTCCCTTCCCTTCCCTCCTCTCGGCGGCCGTGCCCGGGCTGCCCTAGCCAGGCTTCCGAGGAGACGCTTTGCCAGTGCTCGCCGCCGCCGCCGCCTCCCGCGCCTCTCCAGCGCTCGCTCGCTCGCTGCCGGTAGCCGGGCTGGAGCTCAGCAGTCGCACCGGCGGGGAGGCGCCTGTGCGCCGAGAGTCCCTCCGCCCTCCTCACGGCGGCGGGGATGGGAAGAGGCCGGACCAATGAGCGGCGCGGGTGCGCTTGGCCTCCCGGCAGTCGCGTCGCTCCGTCGCTATTGTGAGAGAGGGATTTCCAGCAGATCCCCAAAAAAGGGGGCCGGCGCCCCGCGCCCACGCCGACGGCCGCTCAGTCTTTGTCGGGCGGAGCCTCCGTCCCCGAACTGGAAAGACTCGCGACGGAGAAGCAGCACAGGATAGGAGTCTTGCCTGTCCAGTTATCTCTCTCTCACACACACGCACACAGAGGCCACCTGTGTCACCCACCCCACCCCACCCCGTGAGCGCTCGAGCCTTTCTACCGCTCCTGATGCGCACGTGTGAAAGGTAGACTTGCCAGGTTGCACCCACGAGTTTGGGGCGTTTAACGCAGTAGACGGCCCTGCGGGAGGAGGGATGTTCCGCCACCGCACCTGTTAAACATCCTGTGCCTTTCTGTGCCACTGGTAAAGGGAGGCGATCTAAAGGGCAGATTTTAATCTTCCCCCCCTTTCGGTTACCTCAGAACTGCACATCTCTGGGAACCACGAACTATGCAAGTGCCACTTTGACCAAGCGAACAGGCACCTGCGCTGCTCCTTGAGGTAATTCTTCCTTCCCTGTAAGTGTGGGCAGCTGTCACAGGGCTGGTTTATTTTCATTTTCTTGCCCCTTCTGGACCTCCCGTGAAGTTAGCAGAAAGGGAACCAAGCCTTGCTTTGGAGGGACTGGCTGGCTAATGGTCCCTCATCACCTTGGGCAACCTCCTCTCAGCCTGTGATCCCATCTTCTGTCTGTGAAATGGGGGGTCACAGCGAACAGGCAACTTCACAAAGTTGTGGTAAAAACAAAAAGATAGCTGGGATGCGAATCGGTGTGTACAGTAAACTGTCACGAAAAATGCATGTGACGTGACATTTGCCTTTTCTACATAAACCCAGCCTGACTCCAGGCCATGGTTGAAGGTTCAAGAAGCAGCCTACTGTGAATGGATGTCCTGTGAAATGTGCAGGACTTAATACCCTCCTGATCTACAAACCACAGGCATAGCCATAAGGAAAAAGATGACAGTTTATTTAGAATAAACAAGGAATTGCCATTATTCCAGTGACTGCTTGGTCTTCAGTACAGTATGTTCTTACGTTAGTTTATCCAGTTAAGGAGAACATGGGCATCCACAGAACATTCAGAACACGGGGAACATGCCTCATATTGAGCCAGGCTGCTGGTTCAGTTATCCTCAGGATTCATCTGTGAGCCTCCAGGGTTCTCAGAAAGCAGTTTTCCCAACTGTAACCAAGGACGCCAAAGAATGAACATGGGAGCTTCTGCCTGCAGAGTACATACCCTGCCACTGAGCTGTGACTCTCCCCATTATAATTTGCCCAGGATAGCAAAAACAGAAAGAAACATAACCCTTTTACAGACATACCTGCTGTACTTACATTGGTGTTTTTCAGGATTTATAAAGAGAAAAGCAGCAAGGAGCTCTGTAAACACACAATCACAGCTGTCCAAACGCAGTTTTCCGCTACATCTCTCTCTCTCTCTCTCTCTCTCTCCTCTCTCTAGCTTTAGAGATACATTATCTCCTTTTCACTCTTCATGTTCAGCAGGACCCACTGACATACACCTGGCAGATGGCATTAATCATCCCTCAGAGTGGCACTCCTAAAGGAATGACAGCAAATCAAATTTGGCTGGGAAGTGACAGTTCCATCTGCAATGGCCATTGAACCGGGGGATGAAACTGAACAGCAAAGGGGCCTGTAGAGCTTTTCAGGGATGGACTCTGATGGGAGGGAGAAGACTGCAGACAGCCAGGCTTAAAAGAAACTCTACTCATGTCCCATTGGTAGAAACAAGATAGGTGGGAAGGGAAGGAAGATGAGAATGAAAAGGAAAAAAAAGATCAGTGGAACAGTTGTCAAAAAACCAGATCCAGAAGTGGAATAATAATTTGCAGACAAGAAAGACACTTAAATGGATTTCCAGATGCTACCTCTCACTTTTCCTATCCCCCCCCCTTTTAAGAATGCTTTTTGGATCCTAATAGACACCTCCTATTTCATTTGCAGATGACCTTTCCTCCTTTTCTTTTGCAGCCTGATTCTGGCCAGTATCTTAAAAAGCACACTGAGTTTTACTCAGTGATAATTCCATATGGGCTCACTTTTTATGGATGTTCAGACCTCTGTCATTCAAACTCTGTCATGCCGCTTTTCAGATTGCTTTTTCCTCTCACACATACAATGCACTGCAGAATCTCTAACAATGTTGTTTGCCTTTTAGGGTTAATGTCACCTCAATCGGAGCTGCCTCTTTTTCCTTCCCATCATTCCCCGGGGCTTCTCTGTCCCTGACAATGAAATGATCGAGAGCTTTTCTTGATGGAATGAAGCTCATGCTGCTGAGATAATGCTCCTCCATGGTGTGCTAAGGCAGCATTAAGACTTCATGAAACACAACTGAAAACCAAAAAGGCATACATGTTTAAAGCCAAAGTGAAAGCAGCACGGCTATAAAACAAATGAGAACCCAATATAGATACAAAGAGTCTGGGGAAAGGATGTGAACTGTGCCACAATCCATTCCAAACTCTTGGGCTAGAATCATTTTGGGAGAAACTGTGCATGGAAGAGTAATCATGAAAGCAGTTCCTTTGTTTGGCTGAAGTCCAATGTATGACTGAGCACTGGTCATGGAATTGGTTGTGCAACCAATAGCTTAACTGATGACATGATGAATGCCCCACCAAAGAGAGGAACCTCTTGCATGACTGCCTTCCCATGTGTTGATTTTCCCAACAGGATTCTGGCCTTGAGCAGCAAAGAGTGACCTCTTAGAACTACAGCTGCATGAGTGGTATTCCAACCTATGTTTCTCCAAGGTATTGTTTGCTCAGGAGTTGTGCTCTTTTGAGTCTAAGATCCAAATATGCTTTGGGTATTTTTTTATATCCATCCCCTGCAGAAATAGAGGGCACAGATCCTACCCAAGAAGTGTATGCACAAGGGCCACAATGTAAATGGAGTATTAAAATAGGTAATAAGAGATCACAATGTGAACTAATTAGCAGTTGCTAATAAAAGACCTTCCCACTTGGATTCTGGATCATGGTGCTGTGGGTAACACAATTTGTCTTACTTTGAATAAGTTCATACAAATAGCTTTTGGCTATAGATTGGCAAATAGAAGGGGAAGATATGGAGGCAGTGACAGATTTCACTTTCTGAGGCTCCATGATCACTGCAGATGGTGAGAATACTTTGGCCATCTCATGAGAAGAGAAGACTCCCTGGAAAAGACGCTGATGTTAGGAAAGTGTGAAGTCACGAGGAGCAGAGGACAACAGAGGATGAGATGGTTGGACAGTATCATCGAAGCTACCAGCATGAATTTGACCAAACCCCGGGAGGCAGTGGAAGACAGGAGGGCCTGGAGTGCTCTGGTCCATGGGGTCACAAAGAGTCGGACACGACTAAATGACTAAACAACAAGAAATAGATAGTTATGCTCTCTGGCCATCTGCACTGCGCTTAGGTCCCACTCAGTGCAGCACAAATGCACAGGGCTGTATGAGTGGTGCTGGCATAACAGCTTGGCAGCTTTAAGATTCTTGAGAAAAACAACTGGTTTTGTTAAAGCATAAGCTTCTGTAGTGTAAAGTCTGCTTCATCACATGCATCACTATGCCACAATAAAACTGGCTAGTCCTTAACGTGTCGAAACTGCTCTTTCTTTTATATAAGAAAATACAACCAAATCTCGAAAAAGAATTATTTTAATACAAAGAACAGAAACAGTTTTGTGTCAGTGCAAAACCTAGAATACATTGCAGGACTGTGGGCAGTGATTGTTTTCAGATGTTTTATGTGCGTTGCTGGGGCTCAGCTACACAATCAGCGCACCACAAAAGTGGCAATGAAAATACTCCCATCCCACCTCCCAAGTAAGCTTTCCATCATCACATTCAGGATTACCTGCTTTCTCTCTTGAGTTCAGGACTTTGTGTGCTTCCTCATCCCAGCTGGCAGCCGCCAGAAATACAGAGCTGAGGCAGAGAGATTCACAATATGGCTATATTATAGATTGCACCTTTCTACTGTGCTTCTGCTTCAGTAATGCTGGACCGAAAAAAAAGTAGGGAGAAGGAGATCTTCCTTTTCCCTTGGAGCCTCATTAGATGTAGTGGTGGCTCTGGGAAAGCCACCCCCACCCCACCTCCGGGTGGCTTGGTGTTGGAAGCTGATTTGTGGGTCATTGGTTGGATGGGCATTTGGAGAGTAATGGAGGATTTGGATGTGAATTTTGTCAGCTTCTGACCAGACACTGTTGTGTTCCCAGTAACCTGTTGGGATCCAGTGTAGCTAAAAAGCAGGCTCTGAATAAATCAAGCTGTTTCCTCTGCTGCAGGGGAAGACATCTTGGTTTGTCCAAAGATGGGGAAAGTTAATTTTTGGACCACTATCTCAAAAACCTAACACTTCTCACCTGTAGGTTTACCAGACAATCCAGTCGTTGGAAAGGTTACCTGTATCTGTGAGATGTACGCTGTAATCACGGTCATGCTTACCTTGGCCACTAGGAGGAGTTTTGTAGAGATGCTTGATTCTGCGTCTACAATCATGGAGTGCCTGGATGTGGAGGGACAGAAAGGGTAGCTTTGCTCTAGAATGCATTGTTTGTGACTTTTTTAAAGAAAGAGATAGCACATGCTAATTTAGTTAAAATAAACAGATAAATCACCTTCAATCAATCAATCAATCAATCAATCAATCAATCAATCAATCAAAACTCTTAACGGGGTAACCCCAGTAGGTTTGGTGTACCTCCCTAGATGCAGAAGTTCAAACATAGTTACAGAGAAGACCTTGCTCCAGATCCTAGCCAGTTACTTTATAGGAAAATGGGATGTGGAACAAAGCTTTTTGATGCAGGAGAATAATCAAGAAAATTCTGGATATAAGACATTGCATAAAGAAGGAAAGGAAAACATTTGGATTGATGCCATCTATTCACACACACCCCAGACAGCCACAACCAAGTACAAAATAGTAGTGAGGGTGGGCTCAGATGGAAAATGTTGGCTCAGAAAGTGAAGCTGACTACCTTTGCACCCCATAAACCATATTGGTTGATAATCTGCACATACAAGTAGATGTCTTCCCACATCATTATAGATCACAAATTCGAATGTCCTATTTTGGATTTTAAAATACCATTTTGGCTGTTGCTGTTATAGAACCACTGTAAATTAGAAATCCTTGCACATCCACTTGTGTCATAAAGTGTGCATGTAGGGACTGCTTAAATTGGAAAAATAAATATATTGAGGTTTAGTGGGATGGGGAGAATGCATTTTGCTTTCTGTCTAATCAGTAAATAAGTAATTGAGTTAAATCTGCAGTAGCTGAAATTTCCAGTGTTCTTTCCTGTTTAATGCAATGTCTTTTTCTTCAAGATCAGCCTCACAGAACAGTCATAGTAGGACTTCCAGGTATAAGGATTGCAGCCTCAAGTCTTCCTGAAAATTTGTTTTACACTACATTAGGCCTTCAAGCCCCTTCATGGATTGCTGCCTTGTCATGGCGAAGGGGCTTGAGTAACTCAGAGAAGCTATGGGCTATGCCGTGCAGGGACACCCAAGACGGACAGGACATAGTGGAGAGTTCCGACTAAACGCAATCCACCTGGAGTAGGAACTGGCAATGCCACTCCAGTATCTTTGCCAAGAACGCCCCATGATCAGAAACAAAAGGCTAAAAGATATGATGCTGGAAGATGGGCCCCTCAGGTCAGAAGGCGTCCAACATG